AATTTTCTCGATTCTCTCGGACAAAACATTTCATTTCATATTTTGTATTAAAGAATACAACTGTTTTCATTAGAATAAAACAAATGTTATTATTCATATTATATCATTGTATTGTATGAATTTATTTATTCATATATTATATTATTATTTATTTTTATTATATTATATTGTACGATATTATATTTCATAATTTTAAAAAATCATAGAATTTGTTATTAATTATTATGATGTTTTTTATTTGCTTTAAATTTCTAATTGCAATATGGAATAGTGTGTGAAATCAAATGTACAAACGAAAACTGCATAACAACAAAACAAGCAATATTATAAATAGTAAATGTAATAACGAAAAAAATAATTAGAGAAAATATAAAGAGAGAAAAATAATTTTTATTTATAAATTTATAATAATATTCAATAAATTATCGAAGATGAACGTACGTTAATTAAACGAAGTTAACACGAACGGTAAATGTATAATGATGAAAATAATTAGTGAAAATAATTGTCTTAATATCTTAATTAATAAATGTGGGAGATATATTTAATCACCATTTTCGACAACAAAATAACTCCTCGTGCAACAGGTTTGCATCGTGAACTAATTTGATGGTGCGAGGGTTCAAGCGCACATATATAGGATTTAGTTGATTTTCTATGCCCTCAATGTACACTTAGATGCATTAATATAAAATATTTTAAAATTTTATTCTCATCGTGTATAAAAGAAACAGGATTGTTGTGATTATATTGATAAAATTTGAAACAAATCAGAAAATTTATACAGAATGGAATCCTGTTTTTAATTTATACAGGATACAACAATGGAATATCTACGGCAACCAACTAGATAAGACCTGCGGTTAGTTAACAAAACAAGGCTTCATAACTAAAAAATTTTGAAGAATAGTGATGAACAATTAACAAAATAGAAGATGGGCAGTAATAATAAATAATATGAATATAATTGTTCTGAAGAATATAATTCTTTAGAACAATTATAACCATATAACATTGTCTATAATAAATCACAGCATGCTAATACGATAATCGACAAGCGATCTGATTAGTACAAGAACATATGAAACTATGAATTTTCAAATTGCTCTGAAATTTAACATATCTCACAACGAAGTATATTTTATACAACACACATAACGTATTAAGTTGAAAAGTTTTTTATAATTAATATTTAAATATATTTATGAGACATTATATTTACTTCTAACCAACATTAATTGGATTGTGTGTAACAACTCTTTAAAATGATGCTCACTGTTTTTTTTTTTTTAAGCTGTAGATTTGTTAATGCAGAAATAGATATAAAAGCTATCAAATATAATCTTTATCTGACAATTCTGTTTGATGTTTCTTCCTGTGGTATTTGCTGCAAAAAATTAATATTTCTATGTTATATTTCAATATTATAGATTGACAACAAATTTAAATCGATTGTACCTGAATATTGCGATATGTAATTTTGTACCGCACCGTATCATTGGCGCTGCAATCGTTACTCAGTCTGACAGAAACACAGTGTAGCGATCTTTACTTCGAAGAAATTTAGATCAACGACATCTCTGTTCATTAAATCGTTTCGTCGAGATGTGTATTTAATATAAACAATAGAATATTTAAAAATAGTTAGTAATTTTATTATCACCATAGAAATGTTTACAGACACTTATATATATTGTAACCATAGTAGAAATTATTGATTCGTTATTTAACTTTCATTATTTAATCTTCATTAAATTATTAGTAATTATATATTTTGTTATATTGATAATATTTTTATATAAACAACTAAAATTAATTACGGAATTATTATTTATTTGTAGTATTGTGATATAAATTTATTTATCATCATAATCACTACACAGATGAGGTTGTGGTGCTATCTTCAGTTAATGATTTTAGACAGTGTGTGTCTGTTATCTTCACTACTTGACACAGACGAGGACATATGTGAATATCATATCATATATCTCGTCTGTGATTTCGATCGTTTTACTTGATATAGTCCTCCAATTTATTGTTCTTCAAGCATAGAGTGCGCTAGAAAACCAATAATTTTTTCACAGACGTGGTATATGATTAGGCCTTACCTTGCACCTTACGGGTTTTTGTGGCCGGAGATCTGAAATACCGACAGAGAAAAAAATCACTGGTTTTTTAGCGCACTCTACGCTTAAAAAACGGTGAATTGGAGAATTACATCAAGTAAAACGACCGAGATTGGTCAAGTCACAGATGAGGTATATGAATAGACCTGTTTGAAATTTAATTTCAACTTTGCAGCGCGTCACCATATTATAAAATAAGAAATTATTATCGCCAATTTAAAATATATTTGTACATAAGTATAAAATTTTAATTGTCATTTAATAATTCGCCATTTTATATGAATTGACTTTATTTTTATATTTAATTCATAATAGTTAAAATATAGTTCCAGTATTTTTTATAAGAAATTATATTTTATAATTTCTACTATTATATATTTTATAGAACTAGTCCTATACTTTTGACAATTTTCAAAATTTTCTTTTCAATGTTTTAATGCACCCATATCATTCCATGGGAATATCAAAGTATCATATCTAGATTTCATCATCTGTCTAAATAAATATATAATATTAAATAAATAAATGTAATAAAAATATAGCATATATTAACTTGTAAATGTTGGCGAGTACTTATAATAATATAACAAAATGCCATATCATTTCAAACTGTTTTTAATATTGTAAACTGTTATATAATAAACAATGATGAAGCATTGAATCTTAGTTAGTTTGCTTGGAAAATATTAAATCTGGACAAATTTTGATAAACGAAACATAAGAGATTGTCATTGTACTTATGTACAAATATATTTTAAATTGGCGATAATAATTTCTTATTTTATAATCTGATGACGCGCTGCAAAGTTGAAATTAAATTTCAAAGAGGTCTATTCATATACCTCGTCTGTGACTTGACTAATCTCGGTCGTTTTACTTGATGTAATTCTCCAATTCACCGTTTTTTAAGCGTAGAGTGCGCTAAAATCCAGTTATTTTTTGGTATGTCGGTATTTCAGGTCACGGGCCACAAAACCCCGTAAGATGCTTGGTCTATTCATATACCTCGTCTGTGCCCTGAGACACGAAGCCCCATTTAATGTCCGGTCTATCCTATTCTTAGTCAATGCTGTAATATATACCTTGACCGTTGACTATGATATTGGTTTTTCCTGCCATTTCTACCATTTCATGTTATAATTTTCTTTGTGAGCTTCTACATAAAGAAATACAACTCTCAATTTCACTATATCGTAAAAATAAAATATTGTAAAAAATAAATGAAAATCGAAGGAGCGCATTCCATTATCAGTGATTCCCAGTAAGATTAATTTTTAACACTAAATATGATTATATGCCTCAACTCATTTATTGCAAATAATACTTCCCCTAATAATAAATTCATGTTGGCGTCCTGAGCCAGCCATGCAAAATCAGCATTGCATTCAACGTGTCAAAAAATACAAACTTAATTTTCAAATATGCATGACTTTCGTTCAATTCATTGATATAAATTTTTTGCAAATTGACGCACGAAGCATCTAGCATCATACCTTGCCATTATTGGCAACATACCTTATTAGCAGCATTACCTGGCAGCATTAATAGCTGCGCATGTAGATAGATGTTTTTCAAGTCGGAAAACCTCTCGATCAGGTTTATCTCTAGCATACAGCCCCTTCGAAGTGGAATCGATTGGAGCCCTTAGGCAGTTGTTAAAGTCAGTCGCTTCCCAAGACTCTTGAGGGAACAGGCAGTTTAAACCTGACACAGCAAGAGAATTGTCCGATCGCGCGATCAGATTGTCCCTGCTTCAGAATCTAACGAAATTAGAAATTGCGAAATTATCGAGCTCGGGATCTGACTCGAGAGACAAAGTTCGTTTTCTGCGACCTGCAGCATTACTCGTATTAATACCGATACCGGATTTTTTATTCAGAATAGTACGTAGAAAAAGTTCAAACGTAGAAAAATTGTAGAGATCCATTAAAAAACAATACACTTTTGCGAAAAATCTATACTATACGATGATAGAGCTTCATAAACAATGTCTAATAAATTCGTATTTATTTATTACGATTTATTATTGTACGTACATACATATGTATGTTCGCTCGTAATAGTGTCACCGAATTCAATTCAAAAAATACGCAATTTTTGATGAGGAAACGGTAACATTATTTGTATTTTTTGATTTTAATTTCTATCGCCAATAGCGCTGCAGTGCAATTACTTGCCTAAGTCGATATGACAGAACGTGACATCAAAATGGTAAAGGAATCAGGTGATCCCTATCATTTTAAATCATAGATGGCATAACAATACCATTGCACGATCGGTATTTCAGAACAGGTGGCAACGTCGGGTTTAGATTTATTCTATATTTTATCCATGATTTGATTTCAATGATTGATGAAATTAATGATAGATTTTTCACTATTACTTGATCCATATTATGTATTATATATAGTATCGTACAGTATAATATTTATATAGTGAATATTTCTATTTACTATATTTTTGCAACAGAATATGAGATACGAAAATTATTTTGAATTATTTTAATTAAATATATAAATTGAAGCAAATTAAATAGGTTTACATTTTCATCTATAGATATTTATATTTAATAAAATATACATAAATATTTTCTAGTGGCCTAGATTTTAACATTAAAGTATTAACACATGTATTTACTGCCGTACGAAATTTATATATTTTGCTTATAGGATAGAATATTTAATTTTTGGAAAATATTACAATAAAAGATAAACTAATGAAGATAATCGAGTAATTTTTTATTTTAAAGTATTATCTAGTCATTCGTGTTATTTAGAATTTTTTGTCAACAGTATTCTATTTTAATCATTCTAAAATATTTATAGGAATAGAAATGCCGATTATTGGCAACCATCGTAGTAAAAGTTAACAAATATTTGAAATTCATATGAGAAATGCAAATTAAAATTAGCTCTGATGTACATATATTATCAAAATTGCGTTATATACCTCATTACATTAAAGAATAGTTCGTTGAAATAGAGTATTCTCCAGAGTTATCTTTTCGATAAAGCATAATCATCCTTAGCATTTTTTCGTTTTATGAGCGGCAAGTAAGAAAAGATTTTTATTTGGTTTGTATATGATATCTTGAGAATTCTTATCAGATAACACAATTTATATTTATACTTGCAAAGAAACGCGTGTGTTTAACACGATGAAAAAAATAAAATAAAGTGCAAAATTAGTGTTCCTGAAAATAAGCGTTTATTATATCACTGCTATGATAATTAATAATATATTAATGTTAACCAAGATAATAAATATCGTGACTAATCGTATGACAACTTCGATTTGTCTTCTTCGAACATCGAATGCTTGAATTGTGTATTTTTGTTTGAGAATGGATTTACTTACAAACACCTGGTCTCAGACAGTGGTCACAGGAACGGTGGATCACTTTACAACACAAGTGTAATACCGCTTGTATTTTTTATTGATAGACATGTTCAAGTGTTTATTCGCAAATCATCGTTTCTAGAACAGATATAGTTGAAGTTAATATTCTCGTTAGTTAACAATATCCATAATTCTAAAGCTTAATCTAACATGACAAGTTTCACCAAAGATTCCGTTTAATGTCAGATCAATTCAATCAACTGTCATTACACATTCTTTTCAAACTCCGTTTCTCTCTGAATGTCGCTACGAAGTAGGCCAACTTATCCATTTCCTGTAATCTTATATGGTAAACAATACATCTTATAAATCTGTATCGTAACATAAAGATGATTTAAATTAATTTGAGTAAACGTATCAAAGACTAAATAATCGTTTTAACCGACTAACTTTTAACCGGTTTAGTTTAGTTTGTATTAGGGGTTAAGTACAGAATACTTGCTACAAATAATCTGCAAAAGTCAGGGGACCATCTTGCATTTAAAGTGATTGAAATAATTCAGAAATGAAAAAAATATAAAAAGGAAAAAAATATTTAGAAGGAAAGAAATTTCATTTAGAAGTTGTTTAATTTTTTAAAAATATGAAATTAGTAAGTAATAAGTAATTATTTAAAGATTTTTTGAAGAAATGGTAAAGGATTATCAGCAAGAAAAAAAGAGAAGGATTATTAAATACCAAGAATATCGAAGAAAAACAAGATAGGAAGCTCTCATAATATTAACTGACAGCATAATTTATTTATGATTTCTAGAATCTCTCTCTTATTTATGATTCCTTTTTTTTTTTGATTCACTTTTTTGTTTTTATTCTTTACAGTTATCACTCATAAGAGTGTCCCTATGAGCACACATTATCTTTAGTTTAATTTGGATGCTTCACACCTTTTTTCCAAATTATGAAGATGATAACAGCAATACATTTGATATATAGGGCATCTTACTTAAATCTAATATGTAAATTATTTTTGCCACTTGAAGAAAAAGAAATGATTAGGAGTTTAAATAACTTCAGTTTGTCAAAGATTGACATTTTTATGGTGGATTAAAATGGATTGATGTTTGTCTTGTGAGCAGATCGATCAATGCAAATCATCCTACAATTCATTGCACGAATCAATGTTTTTATCGACTAAGATCGCGACTTATCGTGTTAAGTATATTTCTCAACTAAAAGATTTATTACGATTCTTTATAAACAATTTCAAATAATTTTTATTTATTTATTTTTTTCAAATTTTCATAGTTGCAATTGGATTTAACTCTTAGAAATTAACTTGGAACTATCATAATACTTATTTTAAATATATAACTTAAATATATAACTAAATTAATAACTTAACTGATTTTCTCTTTTAAGATAGGAAGCGTACAGAATCATCTAACTTTGCTAATTATTTGCAAACTATTTGTTATATAAAAAAATGTTTCCAATAATAGTTGAATATTTTTGAAGGAATTGTGTAATGTAAATAAATAATTTTTCATTATTTTATTTTTTCTCGAGATACGAAATAATATATTAAGTTATAGTTGTACTAAATATAAGAATAAAAATATAGATTATACTATAATAATATAATATCTTCTTCTTACATTATCATTGTCTTATATTATATTAATCGTATTTTATACATTATTCAATATAATTGTTGAGAGAGATATTTTGGTATTGTAAAATTTATTTATTGCTTCAAAAGTAATTAGATTTAGACTATTTATGATTTGGATGATACTGTGCGGTGATTTCCTATTCGCTTCTATTAATTATTTGTTAGTTCGCCATAACGTACGTACTATAATGAAAAGTCCCTTGAAAGAAATAGGGGTCTGATTGATTGTTTCTCATACATTTTTAAATATAATAATATAAATATAATACATTAAATATAAGGGCCAGGTAACCTAACGTAGTGAGTAAGAGAAAGGATCACTTCCTTTACCCCTTTACTATGTGGGATTTATTATTTCTACATTATGTTTGTTCGGAAATTGACTCATTGATTCATAATCCAGGTTTCGTATAGTCATGTCAGTAAGTTTTAGGATAGTTCTCAATCTAATAAAAATCAGGCTATAAATTCTCTGGTTTCATTAATTTTATAGTACCAAAGTTTTTTCTCTATTTTTTAATTATATACTATCTTTGACAGAGAATTGTGTTTCCTTTCAGTTATTAACTGTTGTTGTCATAATGTTGCAACTACCAACTTTTCAATTGCCAATTATATTAATACATCGAAATTATGTTGCAAGATGATACCGAAAAATTATTCGGCATCAATGACGTGGCAGATGGCAATGTCATTGCCAGAGGATTTGCTACGGCCGTTGAAACTCGTCGTGTCCGGGAAGTTGGTCCATTAACTCTTAACATTCTCGCGTTAACGCCGTTTATTACGTGGGCGTAATGTAATACCTTCGCGTGGACCATTTTATCGAACCGCACATACTTCCAAGTATGTAAGTTAGACGCCAATTATTGAAATTATCAACAGCCAAATGACAAAACATGTGAAAGTGCATAATTTTACGTTCTGATTCTATAATTATTCTGGAAATCGATATTAAAGTGAACTGAAAGTTATATCTGAAAGAAAATTTTTCTTTATAAGTGAACTATGTATGTACATATGTACATCTTTCCTATATATAACAAATTCATTTACAAAGTAGACAATGGGATATTGATTTTAATTATTCAAAATTTAAAACAGAGATTTCATTTATAGAAGCTTATTATTATAGAAGAAGCTTTGATGTTCTTTGCACCATTCATTTATATTCTGTTTTGTATCTTTATCAATAAAATTAAGAATTCTTTTCTTAAAGAATAAATTAAATCAGAATGATCATGACCATGTAATGAGAAGTTCAAGAAAAACCTTTCATTATCGTAATAACTAAGCACGGTGAATACTATCATGTTATTAATTCTTATGCTATGAAAAACGAAATTACAAAAATCATCTCTTTCAGTTATTATGCTCGTCTCTTTCCGTTCACAAGTTATATTTCTTTAATAATCCTATGTATGAAAGTATTTTTATAATTTTAATAATTTTATAATTTTTAAACATTGATGAAGATTATAATGTTCATTTTTCTCTTTTTCGTGAAATAAACTTTCAGAATAAATTCTCATTTTATAGACAGATTTACTTTTCGTATTTTTAATACTATTATTATGATTTTAGTGAGTAGAACATATATGATTGTAGAACATTATAGATATTTCTAATTTAAAATATATCCATTTGAGTAGTTTATTGTAATGGCAAACATAAAAAATTTTTTTATTTTTAAAAAATTGTAATTCTGCGTGTATTCACTCACATGGGTATATATAAATAGTAATCTTCGCTTAACTTGATAAGATATGTCGCGCGAAATGTGTAAAGCGAAAGTCGAAATCCTTGAAATCTTTATACTAACGATAAGTGAAATATTCTCATCTACTTATGACATCCACGTGGAAGACTGTTGTTAGATGAATAATATTGCTTCTTATATTAGATACAATAATTTATACGTTCTAATTTTAAGTAGATATATTTAATCATTATCATTTAAAATTCATATAATATTCGATGATATAAGAGGTAAAAATTATTGTTAATAAAGTGTCAAAATATTTTTCCATTGTGTTTTGTCCAAATTATTAATGCATCATTTTTTCAAATCTGTATTTTTCTTTTCTATTAAAATTCAAAATATAGATATATTTATTGTTGATATATATATGTGTATTTACTGATGATAATAATAATATTCGGATTAAATATTTGGACAAGTATTATTAGAATAATATAGTTATAAATAATATAAATAAGTGTTATTAATTAGATATTAAAATAATTAAATATAATTAAAATTAAAATATAGTATAAAAATAATTAAAATAATAATTACAATTATAATTAGGATAACATGATTAGAATAATAATAGATATCCAATTTATTTATTTATTACTATAATATTGATAATATTGTTATTAATCTAATAATTTTTTAAACAATAAAACAATCTTTTGCGTATAAATACTTACTATTAACAATTATTATAGTGTACGATGTAGAATGAATAAAACATCGATAAATTTTATTCTCTTTTTTCATATTGTTTTCACTACTTTTTAAATTTCTTATTCATTTCTCGTTTACTATTTTCTTTTTCTAGTCATTCTATTAGTATCGAAGTACATAGAGTGTTTCAAATTTAAATGTCAAAATACATTAGTAATAAAGTTTAATTAAACGTATTAATTTCCATGACCATATGATTCGACGTGTATCGCTTTCAATTCATCATTTACATAATTAGATTGTCATGGAATGTTTTATGTTTATGTCCAAAAGGTACACGTGTCTGTAATTGAAGAGTGTAATTCTGTTCATTGCAGAACGTGAAGGTTAACTCGTATTACGGTAGTTAAGGTTAGTAATGATTTATATACAGATGACAATGTTTATATCATTAATTTTGACATAAATTTTTGGTAGAATAAGATGTTTCTAGAAATGAGTAGATTTACATTATAATGTTCTTCGATAATTGAGTTTCGTGTAATTTTGTAGGGGAAGGAAGTTGAAATTTAATTTTTATTCAAAAGATAAGAGCAACTTTTATATAAAATTTTATATACATATCATAATAATATATCAATAATTAGATTTTCAGATTTACAGAGTTTGAGAAAAAATAACTAGATTTTATATTAAAATAGAGTAAATATGAATAAGAATAATTAGATTTTATATTAAATTATGTTTATAGTATATAATTAAATTTATATATTTTGAATTAGATTTATATTAAACATCATAGTAATTTATATGTATTATATAAATATTTACAAAACAAACGATATTACGGATTTTGAAATATGTTGTGAACATATCGTAATATTCTGAACAATTTTTCCTTATACATGTTACTGCCATCTGGCTTTAAATTGCGAGATGTTCACAAAAATATTTTTGTCATCCTGTATTGTATCTCTAACATTTGGAATATATTTGTATCAATTAAAGCCATCAATATAGGTTTGAATTAGGTTTGGATTAGATTTAAATGCCTATATTGATAGCTTTAACAGAGTACAAAATTTGGACAAAAATCATTCAACTTAACTATGAGATAAATTTAATACACAATAACATAAAATATATAGAATGTACCTGGTAAAAAAGATAATGCACAACAATTAGTATTATGTTTATCATATATATATTAAAAAAACATTTAACAGTTTTTAAATAATTATATATATATGTATAAT